TCCGTAACTGCAGCAAAAAAAACCAAGGTCAGAAGTAACAGCCACCCACATACTCAGACTGAACCATACCTTCAAGTGGGCAAACACAGAAATAATTGACCATGAAAGAGCAGAAGAGCCAGAGAATTCCTGGAAACCTAGCACTCAAATAAAGGAGACATCAACAGATCGATGGAACTAGATATGATCCACCACTCAGTCAAGTGCCTGATTTAAACCATATGCAGCAGATGGACAAGACAAAATGCAAAAAAAATGTGATCTCTACTTTGGTTTTGATCGCCCTGAGTCTAGGGAACCCAAATTTAAAGTATGTATATTGTGTCCAGTTTAATTTTACACTGAATGTAAAACAGGAGCTTTTATTGCACATCATACATCTCTAGCCGAGAAAGAACATATACAGTATTTCTCCATGTACTTCTGTTAATACTTAGTTTATGGCAGAGTTATTTCTTTTCTCTTTCAAGTCTTCATTTCCCTAAGTATTATATAAAACTATAACACTATTGACAAGGATATGTTGAATTTATTGTTTTTGCTGGATACTCTATACCATCCTTAAATTATCATCATGATGCTCGGATCCTTAGATTAGTCCAGTCTAAAGATGCATTGCAACAGATCTAGAATTCCTAGACATTATAGATTGAAATTCCAAGACTTACAATCCCAAAACACAAGTGGGGGCTGTAGGCTGAAGAACTAGATCTTATCCTAACCCCCCCCCCCCGGAAGTTAATGACATGTTAAGATAGCTGGAAAAAGTAACTCCATGATCTCTAAATCACAAGGCAGATCTTGAAGCCATCTTGCTGTATGCATTTGGCTGGAAAGATAATGAGTCTCTTTCCTTCAGGTTTGATCCTTTATTAGCAGTGTAATTTTCTAGGGGTTGTTTCACACATGATGCAGGAATAGTGTGAGTGTGTAACTGAGTATATACTCAATAAGGAGTTGTGATTGGTCAAGGAGGTGTTTGGGGAGTTTGATCAATACACTTCCAAAGGCTGGAATAAATAGGACAATATAATAAACCTGAACAACATACTTCTCCCTATTTTTCCTCAAGAATAGCATGAAAAGTGCAAACTTTAACAAACAGAATTAGATACATTCTAAAACAAATCAATAACTATAGTAATTTATTGACAATATTATACAAACAATATGGGATTGCATAAAAACTCCCTGGTCTGTTACTAGCTATGCTAACACAAATGTTAACCCTAATTTATTTAATTGTTGCATAATGAATAAACTATAATTGGCAAGGTTCACACCACACACCAAGCTATAAACCACATGCTAGCAAACCACCTTAAGGTTCAGCACTCTGAGAATGTAATTCTGGTTTTCTTCACAGAGGTGATGACAGTGTCACATAGCAGGGTTTTTCTTTAGCTCTTGCTCTGAAACATTTTCCACATGCATAGGAATTGATTCTCAAGCAGATCCAGGCATCTCAGATCAAGACACCAACGAAATTTTGTAAATATTGCTCATTCATGACACAGATATATTCCTTCCATAGTGTCTCCATGTAGCATTTTCTCTGAGCTTCAGAATATAAGGGGGTAGATTCCCCACATTCTCTCTGCCCCCTTTAGAGGAGAGTTATAAACATAAAAATTGCAGCCCTTTTGATCATGCTCCTGAAGTTGAGACAGCTGAGCAGCTTTTGGGTGTGGGTCTATGCATCATCAAATGTTTTTGCTGTCTTTTTAAGCAGGAACGTCTTCTCTCCCTGCCCTAACAAAAATGCACCACAGCCTTGGTATGTTTCCATACATACTTATTGGGAATTAAATTCATTATTCACTGACTATGTTGAGTTGGGCTACCTGTGCTGTTTTCTCTGTCCACCTGGGAACTTCAGTACTAAGAAGGTAAGAAGAGTCCTGCTGGATGAGGCCAAAAGCCTCCTCTCACATAGCATTCTCACAGAGTGACCAACTGGCTGCATTTAGAAAGTAAGCAAACTATTATCGGTTATTCCCCAATAGCTGGTCTTGAAGGCCTATTGTCTTAAATTCTGTAGGCCACAGAGATCCATTCAAGCCAACAGCCACTGATTACCTTGTCCTCCATGAATCTGTCAAGTCCCCTTTTCAGATCTTCTACACTGGAAATCAACATCATCGTGGCTGGTGGGAGCTTATCCCGTAGTTTAGTTTTGTGTTGGGTAAAGAAATCCTTTCCTTTATCATCCCTAGAATCTCCCTGCATTTAGAAGTCCTCTCTTTTTCTAAAAATGTGACAGAGGGAGAAAGGTATCTCTTTATCTGCATTTTAATGTTTTTTTAAATTTATTTAAAATATCTATTGCCGCTCGCTGTCCAGAGTTCTTATGGTAGGTTATAAGCTATAGAATAAGCATGGCTTAAATTAAAACAATAAAACCAAGTAAAATAAATTACTTAAAACTTAGAGTAATAATTATAATAGCATTTATAGAGAGATGCTTAAGTCTTGGTTAGGCTATGGACACTAAATCTGTGGTGCCAGAGTCAAAGGCCAGTGACTTTTCATGTGGTACTAAGAGTCTGATAATATCAGAGCAAGCCTGACCTCTAGAGAAAGGGCATTCAAAGGTAGGATGCTGTACAAAAAAGGCTCTCTCTCATGTCCCCACATAATGCCCTATTCAGCATAAGAAGCTTAGAATCCCCACCCCCTGCAGATCTTAATTTTAAGTAGTTCTCCCTAAAGTATTGGTGTCCTATGCTATTAATGGCCTTCAACACCATTATTAAAAACTTGACATCCAAATAATAACAAATAGGCAACCAGTGGAATTCTTCTAGGACTCTATTCAAGTTGCCATAAAAGGCAGACCTACATGGAATGTGTTTCAGTAATCCAAATGGGAGGTTAACAAGGCATGGACTATTATGGTCAGGCCATTATGGTCTAGGAAGGGTTGCTGATGCCAGAGGAGATACAGCCAGCAGAATGCAGTCTTGGCTACCAATGTCATATAAGCCTAAAGTGATAGAGATGAATCCAGGAACATATCAAATCTGCCCATTGCTTCTTCAGGGGGAATGCAAGCCCAACTAATGTTTGGATCAATAAGCTACCAATCCACGGTATCTCTAACTTGTCAGAATTTAGCTTCAGTTTATTAGCTGTCATCCTGCTCCTTACAATGAGTAGACATTGATCCAAAACCTGTACTGATGTAATGGTATATGGGAATGACCGTGGGAGATGAGGGGGAAGAGATGCTGCCTAGGGAATGATTAGATAAGAGAGAGCATAGCCTGCAGCAGCATAATGGGTAGAGAAAGAGACTCAGAAAGGAATCTCCCTAACTTCTCAGATGGTAAAAGAGACAGCGGGAGATTTGTACTGTCAGACTTTCAAGATTCTGTTAATGTAGCCTTACAATAAAGTAGAATTAGCTCATCTGGTTGTGTTTCCCATCTGGTCTGCCTGGGAAGGCTGACAACTGCCTTACCTGACTCTGATGACAAGTAGAAATAGAGTTAGGTATCTTTAAAATACTGGTGGCACTCAGCTGCTAAACCCTTCCTGATCTAATGCAGGAGCTTCAAATAGTTGTTGAGTAACAAAGGTGGGACTCCTTAGTTCAGCAGCCATGAGGCTGAGGAGAATTCCATCTGGCACTGACCAGATAGGAAGGAGTGGAACAATGAAGTACAGTTTATCTGTTCCCTTCACAGATAATTGACTCAGCAACATATCATAGTCAATTGTATCAAAAGACATTTATACTTCCACTCCCCCATCCTTCCCCAAAGAAGGTCATCATTCAGGGTGATCAAGGCACTTTTGGTTCTGAAACCAACTCTATAACCTCATCGAAAGGGGTCGAGATAATCCATATTCTCCAAGGCATGAAAGTGATGGCCACCACCCTCTGGAGAAAATATTATTGAATTGGCTCAAGTTCTGGGACTGCATCCATGAAGGTTTAGTGTATTTTGCTTGCCATGGAGATATTTGCCATTGTATCTATTCTTTTTGCCTTCTTAGAAAACTGAAAAGCTCCAGGCATTGTAGTTCCTCAGTCCCACAGGGCAACACTACTAGCCTCATCATTTTGCATTTCACTGCTGTTTAAATAGTTATGATACGATAACCTACCCAGTTATAACTCAAAGGTGTTGCATGCTGAGAAATCACTATGCTTATTATTGAGTACAGTTGCAGACCCATTTGAATGCATGTTACATTTGGAACTCATTAGAAAAGAAAATTTTCCATCCTGAGTCTGAACAACTCATCCAAACATTCCAACAGTGCTGAAATTACTCCAGAAAGCTAAAAACAAAACAAAACAGGGCATCAATTCCGCAACTGCCCCCACTCCATTGTTTATCCTCAGCTTCTGTTACTCAGATATAATGGCCTGGTTCACACATTGCACAAAGCCCCCAAGATTTTTTTTTAAAAAAACTGTTGTTTACAAAATAAACAACCATGGTCTGGGTTGACACAACATACTAGACCATAAATCATAGTTTGCAGATGACAGTTCACACAACATGCTAAGCTAAAATCCACAAAGCACATCAAAATGATGGTAAATGCACTAGTAACTTGCAGGGTAGGTTATTGCAATGGGCTCTGCCTTTAGATCTAGTCCAGATATTTCAGCTGCTGCAAAAATTCAACAGCTAGGTTCATCTGTGGAAAGAGTCAAAGGGATTACACCTATGCAAAGAGTATTATGTTGGCTGCCCATTTGTTTCCAGAAAAAATGTAAAGTGTTGGTTGTTATTCCTAAAGCCTTAAATACCTTGGGTCTGAATCACTGGATCACTGAGAACATGAATATTTGATTGTCAGTGACATAAATATATAGCAATAAATATCCAAATAAATAAAGGAAGCTCTTTATGATGTATGGATGCAGATGTAGCAGCTCTGAGCACAGAGGCTTCATTCTATCTGGACTTCCCATCCAGAAAACTCTTGCTGCATATAGGACCTACGATTCCCCAAAGCCATTTGTGAGGCAGTTCTCTTACCTGCCTTCTTGAAGCCACAGCACTGTTGATGCTCTTGTTGGCTGCTTTGGTCTTGCTCGAGGGAACAAAATCATTCTTCCATGTTGCTGAGTTTTCTTTAGAGTCAGATGAAATGGGATTCAGAAACAAAATCCTGGCAATTAACCCATAGAGGACAGTCGCTAAGACCATTGGCATGACATAAAATATCCCAAAGTCCATCATATAGATTGGAGAGTAGTAACTCCGAGACACTTTATACCCACAAGACACTACTGTGGCTTCTTTGTAGACTTCTCTGTTGAGATCCAGTAAGAAAAACCAGAGCATACAATAAATAGAGGTGAATGCCCAGACAAAAATGATTATCTTTTTGGCTCTGGAGAAAGTGCATAGAAACTGAGCTTTGATAGGATGGCAAATTGCAATGTACCTCTCAATGGTGAAGGCAGTAATAGAGCACGAAGAAGCATTGATACCAAGGTATTGGAGGTAAGTAATGCAGAGACATCCAATGTAGCCATAAACCCAGAAACCATAAATGCTTTCAGTAATGTTGGGTAGTCCAGCAGCCACAAGGACCATGAGATCAGCTACTGCAAGGCTGACCAGATAACAATTGGTAGGGGTCCTCATGTGCTTTGTCCTAAGTACCACCAATACCACCATGATGTTGCCCACAATGCCTAACCCACAAATAAGGAGAACCAAAAAGATAGTGACCACTTGGTATTCAGTGGTGACCACCTCCAGATTTGGCAGAAGTTCTGTCTCATTCTGTCCATTGCCTGTGCTGTTGTCCATTGTTGTCCAGCTGCTTCTGTCCATTCTGGTCAGCACGTTTTCTCATTGCCTTCCTAGGAAAAAAAGTTAATCACAGGGAACCCAGTGTAAGTTCCTGTCTGTGAGCTTTATATCCCACATATATTAAATCCTTGGCTTCCAATGGTGCATTGACCCCTTGCACAAATCTGACTACTCCACAAAGAGGTCTCTCCATCTCATTAACCAGCATGATGATGATGATGATGATGATGATGATGATGATGATGATTGTAAACAATTATGCTACAACTCAACTTGTATGGTGAAATTTTTTCTCCTCCTCTGCCAAATAGGCTGTGAAAGAGAAGAAAGGTGAGCTATTGCAGTTTTTTCTTCTCACCATTCACCGACATTCTCTGACAGAGATGAATGACAGTCTGGTCTGGAGACAGAAGAGGGTCATTCACCCTCATGCCCTACTGTCAGCCTTGAAAGGTTTCAAAATCTGATTGGGTAGACCCTTCAGTGGGGAAACAAGAAAATGCATGTCTTACCATTTTCAGCTCTGTTTATGGCTGAACACAACGTTGACTAATTTAGCAACCTAGCTTAAGACACCCTTTGGGGTAGCCTTGGGGGGACCAACAAGTTGATGGAAAGGAGATTTACATTAGGACAATTAGAATTACACACCTTGATTATCCCAGCTTAGTTATTGTACTGATTAGCTCTGGCTGATAAGCAGAGGGGATTCTTCCCTTAGAGGTGCATCATATTTATTAATCTACCTAGGAATCTATATTGCAGAAAAAAAAATCAAACAGTTCTATTTCCCTCTCCTGTTCTTGGATGAAATATGCCAGGCAAAACTTACCTTCAGCTTCGTCGAGTTCTTAGAGATGTGCATGTTCAGTCTGAGTGGATGACACGAGCTTTGTCTCAACTTTGAGCAGCCAGAGAAAACCTTCTGAGGGTGACACTTCCCCCAGCAAATGGGCTGTAGATCAATCTGTGGCTGCGGGCTCCAGCTTCAGAGCATCAGCGTCCTCCAAGCCCTCCCGAGATGCAGAATCTCAAAGCAACAAAGCTGTCAAATCACAAAATTGCCTATTAATGAGGGCAGACACAAACAGTGTTCCTTGTACAGAGCCTTACTCTCCTCATGGAAGGAAACTGAACCATCCAGTTCTAACTCATGATGACTGTTCAAAATACAACAGCAAGCCCACGCAGATAGAGCAAGTAGTCTAGGCTAGTTCTTGGAGAAGTGCTAATGGGAAATCCAAACAGCCGTGTGTGTCAGGTTTCTCCCATATGAATCTGTATCTGAATGGTGCATATGTAGCTCTTTTTTCCCTTTCTCTGCTCTGTTTCCTGCAATGAATTTCCACATTTTGACATAAATGAGAAAGAGGATGAGGCTAGCTTGCAAATCTGTGCATCTCTGTGTATATATAAGGGGGTATGGGGGTGTTTCTGCATGTGATATATGTGCATGTGTATGAAAAGCCCTTTTATGCCCTTATATATTATACTGAAATTAAATTACAGTGTGATATTCTTTATTTGGGGCACTGACATCAAAAGGAAAGATCATTTTTGAAATTCAATTGTCTTTTTGATGTGTAGAACAGTTCTTTTGTGTCTCCTGCCTCAATTGCAGCAGTTTGAGAAATAATAACTGGTGTGAATGGAAGAAGGGGGCATTGATTTCTTAACAGAGCTGTATTGGTGTGGTTCAAAGAATAATCTTTTAAACAATTTTTTCCTCCTAAGGAAAATGTACTTTATTCTGATGTTAACTTTTTAAAAAAGCAAAATCATCAGGTAAATCTGTAAGTCTGTAGGAACCATACATGCTAACAATATTGATGCATGTACACACGTGTGCCCCAGGAAAATAATCGCAATCAATCAAACGGCAAATGTCTAGTGAAATATCCAAACCAAATCCGAATATAGCACTGGATTCAGACTGTGAATTAATCTGATATCTATCTATCGTCTATCACTGGAATGGGTGAAACACAGCGTGGCCTGTTTCCATTTATGTTGATAGCTGAATCTATTATGGTGTACTGAAAAAGAAGTACATGCAATTAATGTAAGTCAGAGACTCTCAAGGTATGGTCCACAGATTACTGCAGATTACTCAGCCCTGTTTCCTGCATGTACCAACAGTCACCTGTTAAACTGGGGTGAGGTGGAGGGGAAGATGGGTCGATTGTGCAGATTCAAAATGCATGTGAGACAGATTACAAGTATCTTATCAATTAACAATTGTAATGTGTTAGAAACCCATTGTGGTCATTGAGACCTTCTGAGATTGCCTGAAACCTTTTGATGTACTGTATGTGAGTTCCACAATTTCTCACTTAATTAATGTTGCTGTTAAAAGTCCCACTTTTCTAAAACAGCCATTTTGAGGTCTGCTATGGAGCCCATATGTTCTCATAAGGAACCCCAAAGGAAACATGCTAATAGGAAATATGAACATCTAAAAGTGGGTGTTTGGTTAGAGATCTACTTTCCCTAAACTCTTCTTACTCAGAGACTTGTATGGAAGAATATTCTTGATTAGCAAATTTGCTTTAAGAGTGCTATCATGGTGTGGGAAACATAAAATAATCTAAGTGGTAAATTAATACTGAATTTTAAATTATAATTTTTAAATTCCATTGGAATATGGATTAGCAAATATCCCCCCCCCCCCCCATCTTTTAGCATTTTTTAATGTTTTCCTCATATATGCGCTTTTTTACAACAACCAAGGCATGAACTCCTTCTTA